TTGGCTCTGTGTAAGGCAGGCAGGGAAGGAAAGGGTTTCTCTGGTTATTCTGGCTGTCCATCTGTCAGTCCTTCCCAGCAGCTTCAGCTGCTTTAATTTCAACCACATTTGACAAGACACGATGATGTTGTGTTTGACAAAGATACACACTCCCACGAGTATCATGAAAATTGGTATCAGGGAAAGAACAATTTAAAGACTGATCATAATTACTGCAATTACATTTGTTGTTTTCTTAGTTGTTCGGGGGAAAAAAAGGGAATGGAAAGGAATAATTGAACCATTTACTCTAAATATTCATCTTTACCAGCATTAACATTGGCTGCTGATATCAAATGACAAGGTTTCTGCTCTCTGCTGGAAAGTAACATTTGAGAAACAGAAGAAAGTGTGCTAACAGGGGATAATAGCAGTGCTGGAAAGTCATTGCCTAATTAATATGTTTCTTGTGTTAATTGGCATGACACATCAGAAAGCAAATAACACAAATACTTACTTGGTGTGTGGTGGAGATCTTCACCAGCCTGATGTTCAGAAAGGAAAAATAAAATTTAAGACTCTAAAACTCKGTTCATCTACTTAGTGTGGAACAAAATAGAGAAGACAAATTGGAGATGATGTTCAACATCCAGCAGAGAAGTTACAACATAATAGATTAATAAAGGCTATAGATGCAGATTAAAGTCATAGATGCAGGAGCCTGATTAAAGCATGGACCTTGATAAATGAACAAATTACAGGCACAGGTACCAAATATAGAAGCAGTGAATGCACAGGGGGGACAGCAATCGAGAAAATGTCAAGAGAGAACCCAAGGAGAATGGACTTGTTTACATTAGGTTTTGAGTAATTCAAAACAAGCTGAATTTCTTATGATCACAGAAATGCAAAGAAACTGAAAATACGTCCAGCTAAAAAACTCTGTGTCTCCATGGTAAATTAAGGAGTGTGGCAAAACRAGCTACTGAAATACTAAAAAAAGTAGTAATATTAGATCATCAATGTGAGGTCCAGTCATCCAGATGGTTTCTTGGATTTTTCCAGTGTATTCATGAAAATGGTCACTTTGCTTGGGAATGCCTCCTACACACATTTCCTAATTTTTGAGAGTCCAAAGTTACGATGCTCAAAAAACCAAAGTAAAGCAAGAAGTGGGGGAAAGGGTATTTTCTTTACCTCGCTTTTTTTTCCTCCTTAAATGTTTTCATCTTTGTTGTTTAGAAACGCTTGACTTAAAAATAAATCTTGATTTTTACCTTAGCAGTACTGTAAGAGAAAGAGGGATGATATTTTTCCCCGAAGGCTTAAATGTCTTGAGTTGGAATGTTATGTTAGCTATAATGGAGATATCTTTCTTATGAATGTTTTTCAGGGTTTGTTTTTATCTAATTTGTGTTAAAAAATACAAAGCAGCCATGATCTGAAATAATGTGGCTTAATGTATTTATGTATTTCAACTGCTTTCATTTTCCCTCTCTGCTTCATGTAATCAGCTTCCTACTTTTTCCTCAGTCATCTACTGAGTCTTCYAAAACAAGGATGAAATCTATGATATTAAAAAATCCCAAACCAAATAATAAACTTCTATGTAAAATGAAGATTTCTTTTGGAAGTTCAGTGAATATGAATCCCCTCTATATCCTTTCTATACTATACAGAAACAATGACAAGGAAATCACAAACCCAGTTTCTTTCAACTTCCATCACCTCATTTAAGAACATCTAAATGAGAAATTTGATAGCATGTTTGTAAAAATTCCACTTTAAAATTGGCTTTATGACCCATTCATTTTAAAATTCTTATCAGCTCTGTATGGAGGAGAGCAAATACTGCTCTGTAAGAGGCGATTGATTATAGAATTGCAAATGGAATTGTCATCATAATTAGCAGAAGTTGGAATGGAAGATGGATAAGAGAAAATAAATTATATTGGAGAAGAAATGTACCATTACAAAGAAAAAACCTCTGTACCAATTGCAGGGAGACAAAGGTTGACAAGAGACTGGATAAAAAGAGTACTAATGTACAAAGTACTGCTTTCAGTTTCTGTTTCCTACTTCGCTCTCCATACTTTTTTTTCTTGTGATTTTCCAYGTTTCTTTCCTTCCATCTGTCAGAGCAGAACTTGATCTTTCATGACTGTGGGTTAATGTTGCTCTTGCTATTTCTAGCAGAAGTGGAAAAAAACCCCACTAACATTTATCCAACTTTCACTAAGAGAGAGTAATGTTGCCCCAGGCCCGATATCAGTTAGAATACAGACATTTTCTTTTCAGCCAGTGTGTGATATTGTAACTTTTCAGCAGATATGACTGCATTTAAAAGCATTTAACAGATGTTAAAGAGTTATTTTCTCTCAATATATTTGCCTTTTAGTACCCATGAAGCTGTTTAGACGAAGAATTTATTTTCAATAATTATTCTGTCTTTGTAGAGCATGCAAAATCACATATTACTGGTTATTTTTTCCCTGAACTAGGTAGATGAGCTGTTTCAACTGGAAGAAAACCAGTAGTAAATAAATTCTGTAGGTCTTTAGTTCTGCTATTACGGAACAGGTGTGGACTTTGAGACAAGTAATTGATGTTCTTCAACCATTTGATGCTGCCATCTGCCAGAATAGTATAAATATTCAGCCTGGAGTAGAGAAAGCTCCTGGGAGACCTTATAGCACCATCCAGTACCTAAAGGGGGCCTGAAAGCTGGAGAGGGACATTTTACAAGGGCATGGAGGGATAGCACCAGGGGGAGTGGCTTCAGAAGGGAAGAGAGTTGGTTTAAATTTGTTAAGAAGAAGAAATCCTTTACWATGAGGGTGSTGAGACACTGGCACAGGTTGCCCAGAGAAGCTGTGAGTGCCCCATCCCYGGAAGTGTTCGAGGTCAGATTGGATGAACCAACCTGATCTAGTGAAAGGTGTCCCTGTCCATGGCAGGGGGGTGAAACTCGATCATCTCTAAGGTCCCTTCCAACCCAARCCATTGTGTGAGTATTTTACACAGTCTAGTATTTCAAGGAAACCATCTGTGGGCTTGCAGACACAAGTGTTTTTTGCTGGACTTTGGGGCTGTCAATCCACATATCAATCCATTCAGTTTTATCCTCCCACTGACCTCTGCTGGTCCCTCAGCTCACCCTGACCACAGTCAACCTCTCCACTCCTTCCTCTCTAGATCTGCACTTCCCAGTAGTGTTCCCTCCTTGTTCACTTTACCCCTTCGCTKTTCAGGGAAACTGAGTACAAGTGTATTCTTGCACAGCTCTGCCTGGAACTTCCCTTTGCCAGAGACCCTTCTAGCSCTACAAGGTTTACTTGGACCCCAGATATGAGAGGTTTCCAACCATGGTGGTAACAGGCAGCTCACGAGTGGCCCATTAAGCCCTTATTCCTCTTGCTATTCTGAATGCAGAAATCCCCAAATCTGCCTCCCTTGGTTTGCTGGACTCAAGGCTGGCTGTCTGGTCAGTGGCAGAGCAGTCAGCCAGAGCTCAGTGAGGCCCAAGACAAGCATGTGCTTGTCAGGAGAATCGGTTAAGAGGATCACAACCTTGAAAGGTGGTGTTTGTCATGCTCGTCATAGCCGTGTCCTGCCTCCTCCTGGAGTCTGGCTGTGTCTGACCTCTGCGCTCACCTTTGCAGCAGACAGTACAGGAATCCTTTTTCTTTTAAATTCCCTGAGTTGCAAGGAGCTGCAGCTCAGGGAACAGCAGCTTTACTCAGCCTAGTTAGAAGCATATGGGGGATGCTATTAAAGTACTTGGTTCTAATGATCCTCATGAACAGAGGCATATTTTGGGTGGGAAGGAAAAAATATCCCTTTGTTCTTTCAGAAAGAAATTTTCTTGTGCAACAGAAATTTGGAATGTGGAGGTGTGGTGGACATCACAATATGCAAATAGCATTGTGTCTTTGATGTTTTTCCGATCACCACGTTTAGCCTTTAAGGAGACAAAATGAGGTGTTTTGCATTTTGAATTCCAGCTGATGAAGGCCTCAGCTTCCCGCCCTTAAGTACCGCCATGGCTCCTGCAGGCCTGTGTGGGGTGAGGTGCTGCATCTCTCACCTGTCCCAAGATTTCTGCCTGGGAAGTGCAGTGATGAACACTCTGTAAATGTGCCAGAGCCGCTAGAATGAGGCAGGGGCTTTGCACATGTCTGTGGGGAAGAAATTTGCTCCAAAGAGTAAATAAAAAGCTAAAAGCTCATTAAAATAGAACCATTCACATCCAATCCAAACAGACTAGACATTGCTGAATTGATCMCAGGAACAGATGATCATTGAGAGAGGTGCATTTCTTGCCAGGTTCTAGAAGGCTCAGGTTTAAGGACAGTAAAATTGTTCCTCTATGACATGGGAGCAAATGTAAACAGGGCTTGAGGGTGGCACACAAGCTGAAGGCACAGTAAAATGCTAACTACACAGAGTAGTCCTGGTTACCTGGCTGACTACTTACATGTGCTTTGCATCCAGTTTCACTTTCAAAATTTAATCATATTTAATCTTTCAATAAAATTTTATCATGTATTTTATGTTAGTTATATTTAAAATTTTAAATGTAAGAGGGGTAATATTTAAAAGGTCTTTAACCTTGCTGAGAATGGCGAAGCAAAGGCTCCAGCAGCTCTAAGCTGAAGTCCAAGCAATTGAAACCATAACAGTGAAATGCCTTTGTAAGTGATGATGGTTTAATATTGGAAGGGGATATTAAAGGAATTGGTTCTTTCCCAGTCACACATCATGACTACATGAATCTGTACTTTAGCCAAGCATACATCATGCTTGAGAAAAACACAAGTGACTCGTCTTCATCTGAGTTAGCTGTGTGAAATATAATAGCTGATGATGTACAGGTGGTCTGATTAAACATGGAATGTCTGATTTAAGTCTTTCGTGGCCTTAAACTCAATTGTTCTCCTGCTTGCTTAGCTGAGTTGGCTTAAGACAGACAGAACAAATGGTGGTGGTGTTCAGAAGCCTGACCAGATGTGTTCCCACAGGAAATGAGGTGATTGCAGTAGACTGGAAGGGACTGAAGGATGTGGACCAAATCAATATGGACAGCACGAGTTCACTGCATGGCAGCAGCTTCCATCGACCTTCCACTGAGGTGAGTGCCTGGCCCACACCCACTTAGTCAAGGGGATCAGGAAGTTTGCGTTTTTTTCTGAGTTCAGAAGTGGGTGTTGTGCATCACTGTGGCATCATCTGCCAGAGGAGCGGAATGCCAGTGAGCCCCTCAGGATCATACCTGTGCAGTTTGGCTTGCTCTGAGTAGAGTTGAGTCACTCCCTTCACAAGAACCATAGTGAGTAAGAATTTGCAAGTGGAASTGCTTTTTAACCACTCATGGTGGGAGTGGAACACAAGTAGGAAAAGAGCGGTGGCAGTTCTGACAAGCCTGTAAGTCTGCATTCCTTGAATAAGGGATTCGCATTGGAATGTCCAGCACTGTGTCCCAGCTTCTGCAGCRCAGCATGAAATCTTTTGAAGAAACACATTTGTCTTCATTTTGATATTTAGAGCTGCATTCGCTAGTAACTCACAGCCCATGGAATTACCATGCAGTATCTCAAGGGCTGGTTTGTTTGCTGTTGTGAATTATTGCAGCTTCTGCATTCTTAGGTATCTGAATTTTCAGCTTTGTGAGGTTCGGGGTATACAATGATGATTAATGAAAATATAAAATGTATATTAAATGCGTAATATTTGAAGAACCACAGGTAATGTTCACAAATAACAACACACAGTTTGCAAAACCTTGAAAAACGCCAATAGGTGTGTATATATATATATATATATACAGGTATTTTTATTTTGTTTGTGTACCTTGCTGGCTTGGAATGTAACTTAAAGACACTTGTAGTTTCATGAAATCCTGGCAGAAATTGTTCGGCCCAATCTTGTATGGAGAATTCGGCCAAATCAAAGCAGATCTAAAAGTCAATGAGCATGAACTACACCTCAGTGAACATTTTGATGTATGTGAATGGATACCATAGGTGTAACGTAAGTCATCGTAATTTTCCTGAGTGTCTCCATCCCCAAACCCAGGATGTTGAGGTGTGAGTCCTCCCAGCTGAAGGAAATGCACTCTGAATTGGTACTGTGATGGCTGTTGTGGGAAATGGTTCTGGTTTGCAAGGGGCGAGTGAGTCAGAATGAGCAAACTGAAGCACTGCAGGAGAAAATAATTCCAGCAGAATTGTGTTTCTTGCTGTATGACGCTCAAATTACAGAGGTGGTGTAGCTCCTCCTTGTGTTAACCTCAGAGTGGTGCAGCCCACTCTTAGGAGGGGAGCCTTGTGGAAAGGTGCTTTTCTCTTTCTTGCTCTGGCCCCCTCGGTCACTATTCCACTCTCAAACACCAGGACACCGACAGGCACCATAATCACGAGCAGAGAATGAAAGCAGCTTGAAAGACACAAGTTTTTGATAACATAACAGATCAAGTAGTGCCTGTCAATCATGGCAAACTACTGGGGTTGCATGGACACTTGYGAGTTGTTTGTTACTCTAACGTGGTGCCATTCTTTACTTTCTTCAGCAAACACGAACGGACTTCTCCTGGGATGGTATCAATGTGAGTATGCACTGCATCATTTTTCAAATTTCTAGTCATAGAAAGACCAGGATTTGTCTGACATTGGATGCAGTGGAGGCCCCAATGGAAACATGACTGGAAGTCCTTGGTTCCGCTGAAATTCTGGGAGTTGTCTGCAATTCAGAGGATGGTGATAGATGTTTGTTTGCTTCTGAGTCTTTTGCTGTCTGGCAGGTATTTCGGTCTGCAGGTGGCTATTGAATTGCTTTCATCCTTTATGGGGCAAATGTGTGCCATTTCGTATGTTCTGTTGTTGTGATTTCTGGGCTCTGCTATGTAAGAAAGGTGTCTGTCCAGCATGTTTATAAAAATCAGTAGTCCTTGATTAGAGCATCATTTGATCTTCTCCAGGAGTTTGGGAGAAATGTCTTMCTCATTTTCAGCTGCACACAGAAGTAAAAGGATTCTTAATGTCTCCTAGGGTAGATGATCTATACCATTTAACCTCAGTTAAAAAGCAGATGAGAAACAAGCAAACATTTTAATTACACATGTTCCTTTTGCTCTTAATACCTGTGCTATGATTTTTTTTTAATTTATTTCTCACTAATGCAAAGACAACATCCTGAAAAAGGAGCAATACATATTTGTTCTACCGCATTTTTTTTAAGGGTACTTAAAAAATACTTTCACATGAGTTACCTTTACAGTATTGGACACTTGGAGAGGCAGGATTAGAAGCTCCATTTTGAGTAGTGTAAGTATTTTCAATTCAGATTCTTTCAAAACTTTTAAAATACCTGTAGCTTTCTTGTTTACTGTGATTTGAAAACACTTGGCACATTGGATATAATTTTTAACTAACTCTCACCCTGCTGATACCTTTTTCATTGTGGCACTTGTGGCTTGGGATCTTTTGCCTAGATCAATTACGGAAACAAATTGTGTGGGAAAATAATGGTGCATRTGGCAAATGTCAGGAAGAAATTTGTGATTTTTTTTTCCTCACTGCACCTCTGTCTAGCTGAAAGCRAAGTACACAAGGTCATGTTTCCTTAAAAAAAATAGAAGACAGTTTCCTTACTTGCAGTCTCCCATTTTCCAACCCATACAGAATCCATGGTGCTCTTTCATAATGCAGCTCTTACCCAGTGCGATTCCATAGATCTTCTTTGATACCAAAGCTGGATCWTGAATTTCCTTCCCTTCCCATTCGTTCCTGCCTTCATGACACAGCTCTCCAACCTTGCAGKAGTAGGAACCCTCTGCAATTTCCTTTTTGGATGGGTTCCATGAGGCAGCTCACAGCACAGCCCCCAGGTTGTCTTGGAACAAGTGGGTGGATACTGAGCAGCAGCACCTGGGTGGGAATGACCAGTGGGGGCATAGATGGACTTTCTACAACAAGCTTCATCACCAAAGGAAATGCATCATGGAKCAAGGGCTGTGTTCTCACTTTTTACTGTTCTTCCTCTGCTTTCTGATTTCTTCAGCTCATGTTACACATGGCGCGTTCATGGCCCCAGTTACAGGATGCCTTAGCTGCCACATTTACACTCAGTTTCCAGAAAAACTCACCTCTCATATKTTGGCAATTGACTGGAATTCTATGCCGTTCAACGTCTTTACAATGCCTTCCTTTGTCTCCAGTATTTCACTGCCCAATTAGCGCTCTGCTCACTTTTTGTGAGGTCTGCGCCTGTGACCAAAAGATTGTTTTGTGTCAGGATTTAAAGTTTCCAGTGTTGTGGTCACTAGTTTTTAGTTTCTTTGTGTTTGAAACATTCTAGCCTTGATTTTCAGAGAGATTGAAATGAAGAGCAGAAGCAATGCTTWTTTAGCCCTTGTGAAAATTAAGCCTCATGTGCAATGCCTGGCATCTCTGAAGAAGCCTGATGAATTCATCTTGAGAGATTATTTTTGTGATGATGTTTGTGATGGCTGCCTGTCCCAATAGTGCCCTGTCCTTGTTATTCAGGGACTGAGGATAAACATAGAGAAGACAGTAAAGAAAATTAAGCGGAGCTGTAGGCCACATTTCTTTACAGATGTAGGGTGCTTGAAACAGGACTTGTCACTGATACAGTCACGTTCATTTTATTAAGACCATATAAGAAGAAAAAACCCAAAGTGACATTAAAAAATTGGTAGTACGATGCAAATATGATACATTACTGTGTCTTGCCTACTGCMCCGGCAGCTCCTCACTGCAGGTTCCCTGAATTGTCTGTCAGCCGTGTCTCACATCTTCACAAAGACTTGGGAGGGGTGCAGCATGTCTGTGGAGGACTGGCAGCAGCCAACGGGAGGCTTCTCAAAGCTTCTGCCTCTGCCTCTGGCTTGCCTCACTCAGTCCCAATGCTGGCCAACGTCCAGTCCTGGTCAGATAGCCTCTAGTTTTTCCTTTCCTTCTTTTGTTCTTATTGCTTGCTTCTGCTCCTCATCTTCCAACTCCCTACTGTTTTCTCACTTCAGTTCACTTCCTTTTCTCCTTCCTGTATATCATTTCTTCATATTCTCTCTCTTTTCAGCTCTCCATGGAAGATACGACCTCCATCCTCCCCAAGCTGAAACGCAACTCCAATGCTTATGGGATTGGGGCTTTGGCTAAATCATCTTTCTCTGGTGAGGTCCTCAAAATTTGACTTTATCCTTGGCAGCTTCTCTCCACAGGCCTTTGTGCCTCTTCCCATATCTCTCTGTTGCTCTCACAACTGCTCCTTTCTGACTCTTGCCTTTCCATGGCCTTAGAGGAGTCTCCACCACCATGGTTCTAAATACAGAACTCTCACAGTTGTCGTCCTTTCAAAAAAACAGATTTGTCTTACTCCTGTTGGCTTCTCACTGTGCACCCCTGCTCAGACATCTTCAGTTGCTTCCCCTCAGTCTTGGGTTTAACCCCATTTTCTGTTTCTTAGTTTGTTCACTTCCAGGCTTCATCCTTCATGCCCAGCTCTATCCTAAATGGATTCTAGGCAAGGAAGGAAATGGTCTTTCATATTTGGAGTTCCCCTTTTACCCCCTTTCTGAGAGTTTGTCCAAGGAAGGATGGAGAAACTCCCCYGGAGAGTGATGCAGTGAAAGGTGGGAGACACCCAGCCCTAGTCCCGCATCCATGACTGTCAGGAAAGGAAGGGAGAAGCTCCGTTCCTAGGAGCGGTGAAAAAGGTGGCAGAAAGCGCCAGAGCTGTGTAATAGCCCTCCCTTGTTTCCCAATGTCTGGCCCCTTAGGGATATCTCGCAGCATGAAGGACCACGTGACGAAGCCGACGGCGATGGGCCAGGGCCGCGTGGCTCACATGATCGAGTGGCAGGGCTGGGGCAAAGCCCACAGCCAGCAGCAGCAGCACACGCAYGAGAGCGCGCGCAAGGACGCCGACGCCTACTCGGACCTCAGCGACGGCGAGAAGGAGGCGCGGTTCCTTGCAGGTAGCGACTCCTTTTCTGTGGTCTGTGGGTTGGATTGGTTGGGATGCCCCAGAGCAGATTCCCTGAGAGACCAGAATGCAGAAGCTTGGGAAAAAACCTCAGGAAACGCTGTGGGTGGTTCATGTGGCTGAGGTARAGAGACTTTGCAGAATATCGCTAGTGGAACACCAAGTGAGAGAGTGAGGGCCAGCAGTGGTTGGTGGGTGTTGCTGAGATGGGGCCTGAGCGGGATAGTGTGGCCAAAAGGTGGGGTAAAGGATGATGGCAAGAAGTGGAGAATTTAACACATCTCTGCTTCCCTTCCCCATCTCCCTTGGCACAGGAGTGATGGAGCAGTTTGCTATTTCTGAAGCAACTCTCATGGCCTGGTCCTCCATGGATGGTGAGGATGTGAGTGTAAACTCAAATCAGGACAACCCAGCTGGCAACTACTCTGAGAACTATCAGGAGCTGATGGAGAGCCAAGGTGAGCTCCAGTGCTCCTCACTGATCTGAAGACACCTCCTTCCTGCTCTTGTCACATTGCTCTGTTTTGCTGTACCCTGTTTTACTCTGTTGCTCCAGTCAGATCTACTAGAGTCATCCCTGTTTATGGAGCTGCCCAAGGAATCTAATCTTAACAGGGAGGCTCCAAAGCTCAGTCCCTTTTGCCTTTTTAGGGCACAACTGTGGAGAGCTACCAGCTCTTATGGTCAGTTGTGGGTATAATCAAGGTCATCTGCCTGCTGCCCAGAACTCTTTGCCCTGCTTCCCTCTGAAGGATTCGTGTACCCTGTGCAGTTCCGTGCCATGCACAGGCATGGAGGAGGAASCAGCCTGGCCTAGGCAGTGTCTAACTGTGTTGCTTGCCTCCTTCTCTCGCAGAGCACATGGCCCAGACGCAGTATGACAGCTGGCCTCATTCCTACGTCTCGCAGGGCATGTACTGCTTGGGCTCGTCCGACGCCTGGGAGGCCAGTGACCAGTCCCTGATCGCCTCCCCAGCAACTGGTTCCTACTTAGGCCAGAATTTTGATGAGTCCCAGACAAACCTTCAGGAGAGCATCTTGCTTCAGAGCAACTTTCTCCAGCAGCAACAGCTGCAGCAACAGCGGCAGGAGCAGAACTTCATCCAGAGCACGGGGCTGGTCCACGTGTGGCCCCTGCAGACTGCTCAGAGTGGGGGTGGAGCCGAGTCCAGCACGTACATGGAGGACCACATTGAGGATGAAGGGAACCCACGGCTGGAGAAGGCTCCTCTCCTAAACAAGAAGCCCTCGCCGGAGGAGGATGATGCGGTGTGCCGGGACCTGGAATCTTTGTCTCCTCGAGAGGAGATGGAACACGCTGCGCTGAGCCGCAAAGTCTCAGATGTCACCTCCTCTGGGGTGCAGTCCTTTGATGAGGAAGAGGGAGAAACAAACAACTGATGCTTTCTGTGAAGTTCTCATCATTGCTGAGCAAAGAGAGGGGTGGCAAGGAATGCAGTTACAGGGATTCTTCTCTCCAGCTCCCCATATTTCCAAGCAGACACACCTTCCATTCCTGACATTTAATTATTTTTTTAAACAAGAGGAAAATCTCAAAGTGATTGACACATAAAAACCTTTTCTTCCCCTCCCCCGTGGACACATATTTTGGATTTTCATTGCTCTGGGCAACATGTGATGTGCTTGGAGAGATCTGGATTGGTAAATAATTTCTAAATCTTTTTAATACAAAGTCTTGGCTGTGGATAAAAACACTTCTGGTACTGGGGATGTGTCTGGTGAGACAGGCTTGGTATAGGGAGCAGCTTTGTGACTAGAATTCATCTTGGCAGAATGGATATCGCTCTGTGGACATGGCCCCCTTTGATAGAGTACATGAAATATAAACTGGTTTAACATGAAGATGTGGCTTTGCAAATCTAGATTGCACTAGAATTGTGATTGTGGCTGATGCAGAGGATCAGGCTGTGTTCCATACAGACYGTACTGAGATGAAAGATGTGCTGTGTAACCAGGTCCTCAGCAGCACCTTGATCCAGAGTTGTAGGTTTGATGGATTCAAACTGCGCTCCGTGGGCCCACGCTGCCGGCATGGCTCTGTGGGCACGGCTCTGCTGTGGAAGAACGGATGCAGATACCAACCTAACCCTGCTCTCAGATATTCATGCTTTGGTCTCTTATTTATTTGTTTCTCTCCTTGACATTTCTGCCTTCCCAGGAGCTGGCAAGAGTGGTGTCTCCTTTTGGCAGTGGGCACTGGAAGCCAGTGGAAAGGACATTTTCAGCTACAGAGACAGTCATAAAAAGCTGACTCTTGCAGGGGGCTTGAGAACAGGTCCATCTCGGTGCTGCTGCTGTATCCTTCTGTCTTTTCCTTGCCAGCAGTAYGGGGAGACCCAGAGAGTAGGCAGCAGATCCAGGAACAGTGTGTACAGCTATGAGATCACAGATACCTAGTTTACATTCGAGTTTTCAGTTTTTGTGCTTTTTTTTAACCTTTTTATATGCTGGGTAAGCGTTCACAACAAAGCAGTTAGTAATGGGAAAGGCCTGTACTCCAGTCATGATTTAACAGAAATACTGCACCTTTCCCATTTCTGCCGCTCCTGCAGTGCCAAATACAGCTGGAGGAAAAGGGATGAGGAAATTTTCTCCTCCTATTTGTCTTCTTCTTCCTGCCTATGTTTTCTTCTTTTGTTTTCCTACCCCCAAGCAGTGTAAATAATGCTCAGTACTTGGTCTGTTTGCTTTTCCCTCCCATATCTTTTTTAGGTGTGGAGAAAGCTTATTTCAGGAGTTTTCCCTATTTGTACAGGTTATATATTTTTTGTTAAAAAAACTTGGTTCTCTGATTAGGGGGAATTTGGTCTCTTGCAATTCCTTGACATTTTTTTACAAACCTCCTCTTGGGAGGGAGAGATTTTGAAAGGAAATTGTTTTCCTTTCGGCTCTCCCCAGAAAATAAACAGGGACAAAAGCAAAAATTGTATAAGGTTATTGATTTTCTGGAGGACTGAACAGAATCAGCAGAGATTACCCAGGTGCTGAGTTTTAATTGCAGGAGCTCTTGCAAGGCAACATTAGCAAATCACGGGCATAGATCAGATGCTGTATCTGATGAGCTAGAGAAAGGAATTTGCCTGGACACTGCCATACTGTTCCAGGAGCAACTCTTTCTCACTTACTCTGACTCATATTTGCTCTGTTTAATTCATGATACATTTGTCTCTTCTTTGCCTCCTCTTCAGGCTTGGTGTGTTTTTTGGATGACAGGAGAGTGATACATGCTCCCGCCCTGCTTCAGGTTTAGTTCCTGCATATTTTCAGGGAGGAATGTCTAAGGAGAATAAGAAATGTCATCAAGTCTCAGAGTTTAGACAGCTCCTGGCAAGAAAAGCAAATGATGTCCAGGAATTGTGAAATGTAGGAATGGGACTCTCAGGTAGAACTTTACCCCACTCAGCTTTTTCCCACTAACACAGCAGCTGTGTAAAGACTGACTCCTTTTTGAATACCCAAGTCTTTCCAGCCAAGTCCACTTCAAGCAGATCTGTCTTCCCTCTCCGTAGCACCTCTAAATGAAAGACCTTTGGGATGTTTAAGACTGGTACTTCGGTGTAGGTAAGAGAGAAAAGCTTTTTGTGACCCATCTTTTTTTACGCATTTGCTTGGTCTTGCTTACATCCCTCTAGGGAGATAGCTCTTCTGCTGAATGATGACCTTTCAATATATCTTCAAAGATGTTTACACATTAAGGTATTAACCTCCCCTGGGCAGCAGGGCTGGATAGACACGATCCTCTGTAGTTCTTGCAGGGCCAGTGGTAGTTTGTTGTCCTGAACTGGCTTGGGTCTAGCTGTGGAGCAGGGCCTGGGAAATCATGCCAGCCAGAAAAGGGAGATAGAGCAAGTGCCAAGAGCACTTGCTCAGCAGATGAGTAAATGAGTAAGTCTAAACCATTTTTTATTTCTTTTTAAAAAGGTCTTCAGGGAAACAAAAAGGGTACGTACCTTTGTGGGAGATTTGGGTGGCTTGTTGTTTCTTTCTTCAAACAATTTTGTTTCCATGTGCCTCTGCAGGACCTATCTGGATGTTTACGGTAACTTTTAGAGTAGCTTCTACTGATCCCTCTGTGTTGTTTACAGGGCTGGGACAAGTGGATCAGCTTGTCCAGGGCTTCTTTTTCTTTAATATGGATGTGTGGCACATTTATTAAGATATCTAATTGATATCTAATAGATATTCCTTATCTCCATTGAGGGCAGTAACAGGGAATTATTTGCATAGGGAAAAGTGTGAAAAAAAGTTGACCTTACTGGACATTCTATGGAGTCTAAAAGGAAGAGAAAACATATCTGTAGATTTTTATAGCCTCTGTGGAATTGGGATAGAGAATTACACTCTGCTGCATAGTTCCATAACCTGCTGTCTAGAAACCTGTAGATAGCCTCATTCTCTGTGAATACAGACTGGTTTGAACACCACTCTATGTAAATTTTCCAGCTTACTAAATTCTGTAATTTTTTTTTCTTTAACATTCTGTGAATAATAAAATTTCAGCCTTTTCCTGAAAGAAAGAAAAAGGCTATTTTCCGTGACCTCTCCACAATCCAAAAGAGCTATTTGCTAGGAGTTAGACCAGAGAGAGCAGATCTTCCTGTCCACACTTGCCACCTGAGTGAGCATCCTGAGCTGAACTGGAAAGGCAGTTTGAATCTCTTTGAAAGTGGAAAATTGTTTGTATAATCTGGCCTTTTCTTATATAACAGGCCTGCTGCTTGTGTGTGCCCAATATCAGAGAGAGACCTGGAACCTWCTGTACGTTTCCCAGAAAAGCTGTTATTATATAGATGTACCTATTCAAGCATATGGGAGGCACAGGTGCTCTGTGAGCGAAATTTGGCCTGCAGTCCCTTTATCCTGGTGAGGAGGGATGAGTTGGAGAGAGTCCAGCCAAATAGTCAGAGCCCAAATTGTGTTTGTGAGTCTGTAAATAAGAAGGAAAGGTAAGCTCGGTATTCCTGATCTGCAGTTACTAAGAAACTGAGCTCTGCTGTTTGTTTCTACAAACCCTTCATAAAGCAAAGCTTTACTACAGAAAATTTTGGGTATTCCTGAAGTAGTGGAGRTGGAAGATTCCCATCTTTACCCCAAGGCTTTGTCTTCAGTAGAAAATTGTTAAAATTACTGCGCTAAACATGAAACAAAGCTTAAGCACAAGTGACCCTAATTTAAAATCTTTCACTGCAAGAAAATTCCCTCTTGTTCCTTTTCCCATGATTGCTCAGACCTGATTAGTTATACTATTTCATAAGGTTTTATTTCATATAAATCTGAAGCTTTCTTTACAATCCTTCTGGGTTCTCTTCAATTCCATTACCTCAGGCTCTGGGACAGAGAAGTTAATCTGCTTCTTTCAGTTTCTGTGCCTCTGAATCATCATCATCTACTGGAAAACTGCTGACAAGTCATCTGCTTGCTTTCCCCGTTAAAAAACTGTAACATCACCTTTCAGAACAGGCTTGCAGCAGAGATCGAAGTTTAACCATACCTGTAAGCTGATCCAGTGCTGAGCTGCTTTGGAGGAGGAGGAACTCTGCTCTGACCATGCACACCACAAGCCTCGGGCRGGTGTTGATATACAGCTGACCCACACCAAGCCAGGGACTTTTACTCTGCTGTAAAAGTGAAGAGGGAAGAGCTGTGAGCAGAGGGAGAGAGAGTGCTGTTGTCAGCAGCTGGCCTTCCTTTGTATCAGGTTAGAGAAAMTGGGAAAATGTGCTTTGAAGTGACATCTTCATGATGGCTCTAAGCTACTCAAAGGAGCTGTCCTGCCTCCTTTCTTCCACCACCACCAGCTCTGTACTTCTACTGCCTGAAAAGCACCAGCACTAAAGCTCATTTGGCTGCTCAGGAACTGGCCCCATTGGAAACTAGCCCAGTCCCTACCTAAAGAAAGGTTTCAGTGGGATGAGCTCTTCATATTGCTTCTCTTTCTGAGCCAGGCATTGCTGAAAGCTGGTGAAATTTGTAGATGGTCGTATGGAAGACTGGTTGCAGATGCAACTACAGTTGGCTTAAGCTGATTGTTACATGTCTGTCTGAAAAGAATAAGCCCTGATGGGGTACCAGGAAAGGCATATTCCCTCTTTTCTTCCTTAGTGTTTTCTTTGGAATTTCTAGTATGCTCTTACCCAGTTTAGTCTTTGTTATTTATGCCCTGTTATTTCCCTTGCTGTTCCCTTCCACAGGCTCCTTTGAGGTAAACTCTGGAAACTGGGGAGGAGGACATGAGTAACTTGATATATGCATGAAATTAATAAAATTAACATGCACAAATCGTGTATGCATTCAATGATTACACTCTGTGGCAGCTAAAGATACTGATGACTTTTGTCCTGTAATTGTGAGAGGGGAGACTTGAKCAAGGGTGAAGCACAGCTGTTGGAAGTGACTTTTATCCCTGTCTTTAGGCCAGTTCCAATCTAGTGTGAGATCCAGAAGTGCACTTCACACCTAGGCAGASTCTGTGCATGCTGTTCTGTGTACAGCAACAATGAAAAAATTTTAGTTGTCGTCTTGGAGAAGAGACCTGGAGAACGAAACTGGTCTCTGTGTGACGGAGGTGTGAGGTTTGATGGTGAGGCGAGGGAGTATGCAACAGTACAGGCTTGTGGACAACTGTGTGTGCCAGAGAGGGAAAGACATGGAAAGAAAGGCTTGGAAAAAGATCAAGAAAAGCTTGATGTCTTTTTTTTTATACAACACAGGTAAGAAGCCTCATGGCAGACTCACGGCAGAGTGGACTGAGGTACAGAATTGCTATAAAAGCTGTAGGTCCAGGATTGTTGCATCTCATGGTACTCCTTAGTCCAAGCCACAATTTTTTTTTCCTGTAAGACAGTGATAGGAAAGAGACCTCCCTGAATCTGGGTACTTTCTAGCTTCTTTTTCATTGTMTTCAAAAAACAGTTCACAGTATGCTTAGTTCTTCAGGGAAATCATGAGAAATACACCAAATAAGAACTTACTCCTTGTCCAAATGAAATGAATGTGAGTTCTGATCTCAYTGGGAACCCAAAATACCTAAATTCAGCTTAGTTTGCCTTAACTGTTGTATTGGTAATTGCCTACAAGGAGAGATAAACTCAAATAATCTGCCTCTAAATGCTACAGAAAGCAGAGCAACATTGGCATAGGCTACGATCTTCCTTCTGATTTCTCCCAAGTGGATTTTCCAGCATTCCTTCTTCAGACTCCTTCTTCAGATATGTCAGACAACTCTGGCGTATCTTTTTAACTATCTGTTTGACTTTTTCTAAAAGAAACAGAGACAAGAAAGGAAAGRAAAAAATCCATTCCAATACAGAATACTTTCATCTTTGATTTTCCTCCCCTGTAGCAATCTGACAGGGCTTTCTATAGGAAAGATTTCTATGCCATGGCTCAGGGAAAGGAAAACTAAACAGGGAAAATGTGAGTAAAATAGTGCCTATCTGAACTAAACGTATGTGTAGGACAGCCTACAGTCATTAAAGCACAGTCTCAAATGTAATTGCAAGCTGTAAAGTTGATGTCAGGTGCCTCTTTTGTACCATAGGCTTTTCCCAAGCTAAGTAGTAGGGAACCTGTGCAGAAGCAGAAGAGCTGGACTTCTGTGCCCGATCAGTGTGTCTTTGTCTCAGAATATGTCATGGAGCTTGGGGACACTGTGCTCTCTGAGCAGCACAACCAGCTCCAGGAATTGACTGGGGTAAGGCATGAGGGTTCTGATGTTCACAAATGGACATGGAAGATCTGCACTTGGAACATCAGGGTCTGTTTACATCCTTGCACTGACATTTTTCCCCAGCATAGGCAGATCAAAGTGTTGTTTTTTCCTTGGAGATGAAGAGAAGCTCCATGATTGTCAGTGTTGGTCTGCACAGAAGGAAAGAAAAATGTGATGTATTTTTCCAGAGCAGATACACATTGTTGGAAGAGGAAAAATTTAGTCAGGCTGTGATTCTGAGAAAGACCGTGTTTACTAAAACTGTRAAGACTTGATCAAGAATGTTCTCAGTGCAGATACCACAGAATCACTGAACGATTGGAAGGGACCTTAAAGATCACCAAGTCCAATGCCTCTCCCATGGGCAGGACTTACCTATTGATGTGTAGTAGCTGCTRTCTTCTAGGAAGAGAGGGGTTGCAGTGTTCTGTGGAAAGAATGCTGTGCTAGGATCTTCCTCATCTCCTTCAGCTGGGAATATTTGAAATGCCCTCTGAAACCTAGTCTTGTTTTTGCTTTCCCATAAGGGATCAAATGCCCATGCTTGCAAGACAAAAACATCTAAAAAGGCTTTTCTCCATTATGGAAACAAGATTGTGCTTCTAAAAAGATAAAGGCATGTAGTCCAGATTCACTGGCCTTCTGGATTCATTTTCATTGGGCATGAAAATCTAGTCATGATTGGATTGGAAGCCAAAAGGTTAAGAACCCTCTTCCAGAGCTCTGCCATGTTCCCATGAGGCAAGTGCAGGTAGACTTCCCTTCTTTTCAGATACTGCATGCTTGAGCAATGTAGCAAGCCAAACRCTCTTTTGCAGGTATATATTCTTGTTTGGCTTTAATTTTTCTTTTCTGATTTGTGGATGTTGTGCATGATTGGAGGTCTCTGGAAATCCCTACACTATAAAATTGGGACTCAAAAGTAATTTTACAGGGAACAGGATTTCTGTTGTTTCAGCTCTTTTCAGATATGGGTAGGTAGAGGCAGAGGATTTGGGAGGTGCRAGGGTGGTGGTTGGGAGTCTCAGGGGTGGCATGCAGAATGGATTCCTGAAGCATGTGTAAAAATAACTAAAGGCTTGGGTCTTCAAATATTGTAGTATCTGAAACTTACTTCAGCATAAATGTATGGGACAACACAGGCTGCTGCAAAGTGATTTTCAAGGGCTTCCCCCGAGCCTGTACGTGTTTTCTGTAGCGGGGAGGCTGCATGGTGATCACATGTATTCTTTCAAGCTAGTGTTTACAGGGGTGCGTTGATGTTTGSGGAGAGAGCACTGAATGGAATTAAAACAAAAAGGGAAAGGCACCCACTATGGAAAGCTTTCATCCTACATTGTCCCACACTAGCCCTTAATAACTAAAATGAGTCTGATTTGCCTTTGGTCTTCCAGCTCCAAAACATGTTTGCCTGAAAATTTTTGTTGGATATACTTCGCATGTTTTGATAATGTGACTTACGAGATAACACTTCTACAAAGATATATATAAATACATCCATGTGCAACCACCTACATACATGTGCACACATTACATATAGACTTAGAGAACTATATGGCACTGCACACCTCCATGCCTGTATGTGGCAGCAACCACAGTAAAGGAGGGAAGGTAGCTCAAAATAGCATGTACAGTCCTTTATGGAGTTGTTATTAAACAGAATGTGGTCTTGCCGTCCTGGCTGGTGGAAGTGTTTTATTTCTGTGGGACTGGTTCCAGGGGAGTTGCGTCTRAGGAAGGAGGATCCGAGGAAGAGGGGGTGGGTTTTGAGGAGATAGGCTCATGGAGCACATCAAAAAGGATCCATGGTGGCTTGCAGAAGCACCCCAGAGTAGCAAATACCTGGTTTCTCATTAAGAAGATAAGAACATCACATTTTGACTGTGCAGGGCTAAAATCTGGTATGTGTCTGTGATTACCAGGCATGAATCCCAGGACAGATTTGAGGATAGACACCATCACATCAACAGAATCTTTTAGTTTAGCATTGAGTGAGCTTTCCTGTTGCACTGAATAAGAATTTCTCAGGTGATACGTGTAGGTTTTGTCCCAATATTGTGAGATGCAGACACATCTGGCACAGAGTTGGACAGAAATTTCTCAACAGGGCATGACACAGAAAAGCATCTGATGCTTAGCTTGTAAAAGGCACTGACATTGGATAGCAAGACTCTGGATTCACCTTYCAGTTTAAATGCTTCTCAGCCTCCTGTCCTCACAGCAGAGTGGGGAATTGGTTGACCCAGAGGGAAAGAAACATCGCTGCACTTMCAACATCGCTGGGTCATCTGCTTCTGATGTAGGGCATTGGGCCAGACCCAGTCACTATTAGTTTACCATATGAAACTTATAAATTCTAGCCATAAGAGATATCTATTTCCTTGTCAAGATACTTGTTTTCCTCTGGTTCTTCCAGGAACTAAGCAGTGTTTCCTGCCCTTCTTAAATGCAGTGTATTTTACAGCCAGGGCTATTTGACTGATCTTTGCATTCTGTGTTCTATTTGAAATTAATTTGCTTCTCTCCAGTTTACCTCCCTTTCCTATTGAATAGATTGCCACCCACCACTTGGTATGTATGTCTACATAACTATGCTAATATAATTAATTTAATTAATTGTGATTTGCATAAGACACATTTACTTCTTTTGGTTTTTGGTTGGTTGGTTGTTTATTTTATTGTCCATCTTTATAAGTCCCCCCCATACTCTCTCCTGGTTTTGTGTTTTGGGTTTTTTTGTTTGGTTGGTTTGTAGTTGGGGKTTTTTTTKGTTGGGTTTTTTTTCCAAATTGCCTCTAAATTGTCACTATTTTCTTTTTGAAATGTAGCGTGTCAAATGAAACCAGTTATTCCCTGCGTTTGAGACTTGTGTCCTTGGGAAAACACAATGTTTTCGGCTTCTGCAYAGGAAAAATTTATTTTTTTCTTAATTTCACATTGTGCTGCAGAGATGGTGTCCAGCTGCTGAGTGCTTCACCTAAAAGAACTCTTTTGTCATCATGCTAGGCTAGATTTATCCCCCAGTTAAGTTCATCTCCTCTGGATTCAGCTGCTTAGCCCCAGCAGGAGCCTCATTCTGTAGTATCTGCCTCAGGCTCTGATCTCCACTTTCTGCTTATTTCTCTGTCTAGACTAGATGGCAAACCTGCCATATGTTTCTCTCATGTTACTGTTTTACCATTTCTCATATGTTACTTCTAAGTGATTAATGAAAACAGTAAATAAAAAGGGCATAAGAGCATTCTTGCTGCACACCTCACTGGATCTGCACTTTGCCAGCTGAAAGGGCATTTTCTACACGGTTCCTCAGACAGCTCCTATCTTCTGTGCCAGAGAAATTGCAATTTTGAGTTAAGCATAAGATTCTGTGACATGTTTGGTCATAATCCAACCATCTCAGCTACCATTTCTTTTCACAGCCCATTTGCTTAAGTGCACTATAGAAGCTGGAGGAAGAGAGAAAAGCAGGTTTTGTTTTKTTTTTTTTTTTTGTTCAAATGTATTTCTCATAAACCTTCCATTACTGTCTTTTGCATTTGTTTCTGTGTGGAAAAAACTGAAAAGCTTCTAACTTGAGTTTATGTGACTTTAATTCTGAATATATCTCAGTATGCCTTGTAGCTTTACCTTCTGTTCTTCAAACTGAGTAGCTATTCAGTAAATAGATCCTAGCAGTGCTTAGATTGTTACTCAYGTAAAGTAGGCAATTCACATTTTAATTTCTCTGCATTCTGTTTCCTTTATAAATTTGCTACTGGACTTTTCCTCAGCTGGATGTTGTCCTCCATATCAGGTGCAATTCTTCAAGTGGGCTTGATATGTTTCAGTTTTACTATAGAGCACATGTTTGAAATAGCAGCATACTAAAAAAAGCTGGGATGGGAGCAAATACTCATTTSAAAGACCAGTGCTTGAACTAGTAAYAGGTTTGGCTGAGACTACATCACATATCTTGAGACCCTAACCCTAATGCTCAGGCATGGCTTCTATGTGTAAATTTTAATTATTGGTGTCCAGTGTTGATTAAATTTTTATGAGAGCTGTGCCCAGATACCTGCTTATGTGGCCATGAACAACTTAATGCTTGCTGTGACCATATTTTTAATAGTGTGTTTTTAATTTTAAAAGAGGGGTCTTTGCTTGCTCAGCTGGTTATTGCTGATCTTGTACTCTTTGGYCACAAAACACACACTTCTATACAGTGTTTGCATAACTGGGAAGAAGGGGGATGTTATTTTTATTTACTCTATCTGTGTCTCTATTTCTGCCTGTACTAATTGTTTTTGTCCACAGGTTTAGAAAACTATATTTTTTTTAGTCTCAAATAATTTGGCAACCAAAAACGTTACTTTGATGAGGCAAATTTTTCTTGTTGTTCAGTAGTCCATCTCCATGTGTTTTCTCCTTTATTTGGCTCATTATCAAGTCTCTTAGCCTTGTCATAACTACTTAAAGATCTGCTTGTTGTCTTACCAACTTAAATCTTCCCTATTTTTTCAATTCTTTATACTGATGCATTTAAAAACAAAGACTTCTGCTTTGACCCCAAAGTGCCATGTGAAAGAAAGTGCAATTTTTTGCTAGATTTCAATTTCTATCTGAGTGGGAAGACCTCATAGCTGGTACAAATTCTGGGATATTTCGAGTTGGGGTAAAAATTATTTTTCCCTGTAGGTAATCAAGTGGGTGCTACTTTGGTAGGATGGGAGATGCAGGTTTCAGAGTGGTAGATCAGTGTGACTTTGTTTTCTGGACGAAAGTTTCAAGTTTAAACTTGGAGGGTATATAGTGGGATAGCCTGAGAGACTGCAAACTTGAAGTTCCCTTGACAAAGGTAGGTTCAGCATAATTTTACTGCACATTTTGCCCCTATTAATGTACTTGGCATGAGCTCAACRGAGATTTTATTGGTAAGATGGAAGTGTCAATAATTTCAGACTTTGCAGACCATCTTTTTTTAGAGAGTTGTTTGTCCCATCCTGGCTCCCTATGCATTTTYATGTATGAATACAGGTGAGAAAATGGTGCCAGTGAATGCTGGTTCTGTTCCATGGGTGGAGACGATACCTAGAATGGATCTGGGGTAGTGTCTATAAAGAGCAGGAGTTACCCCCCACCTTTCAGCTCCCGCCCCAGAGAGCAATCCAGCTCCTCACAGCAACCTTGGGACAGCTGAAGGCAGTAGGAATGGAGAGATACCTGTGTGTGCACATGTGGGCACACGTGTGTRCTCTTGTAATCTCAAGTCACGAGTCTCAAGAAGCTTTCCACTTTTGCTAATGTTTCACTCCAAGCTCCCCAAGCCTCTCCATGTGCATCATTTTTGTTCCAGCCTCATCTCCCCCAGCTCACAATCTGTCTGTCATGACTCACACACTTGCTGGCTTTGATTTAGGCTCCCATCTGCTTTCTCAGCCAGTCACATCCCAGTTCTTCTGCAGCACACTGTAGGAGAAGTGTGGGACTGGAGCAGAACATATATCTGTATTCAGGAGAGAGGAGGGGGTGGTGTGCTGGCTCCAGCCTCAAAAGTTTCTCCCTATCTCATCTGTCTCAGTGGAAGCTTGTGGTTAAGCTGCAAAATGTAAGTCTGCACAGTAAGGCTGGGGATGACTTGGAGAAACTCATCCTTCTCGGGTGTGCTTGGACCCTCAGGTGAGATTTGGTCTCAGTGTTGTCACTCCCTGCATATTTATGCTTTTGTAAAAGGAATGTCCTTCCTCAGCTTACATAAGGGACTCTCTCAGTTCCCTGAGAAAGAAAAGCAGTTGTTTTGCCTCTTCCCTGCAGGCAGCAGAAGGTGACACAAAGGTGGCTGGGAGGCTGTGCTGATGCCTGGCAGGCACAAACGCGCCCCTCTGGTGGAGGCAAGCAGCTGTTGTGTGCCAGAGGCTCGCCTCAGATCACCACTGTCTCCTCACAAGGACAGGRTGGCTCCTGGGGGACAGAAGATCATTAAGGCAGGAAGAGGCTGTCCCCAGTTAGTTTACAAAGGGGGATTGCATGCCGAAGACAGGACTGAGCTGGTGGGAATTCCAGAAAACAAAAATAAATTTCTTCCTCTTCAGGGGATTAGCGGGGAAGAATTCCTTCTCCTA